TTCACAAAATCGTTCTTGTACCCAAGAACTCAAAACTCATCACCTTGGTTCCTTGGGAGTGAGCAGGCCTGGAAGGCGGGGGGATGGAGGAGAATGGGGGATGGGTACAAACCCCCCCGATGCATTTCCAGTTCGGTTGGTACCAAAGAGATTTGCTGAACTCGGAGTAGAGCTGGGACTAAAAGGCAGCCAGTGCTTTCCTGGACTTTTACATCAAAGGGTAGCTGAGAATTGCAAGATCTCATTAGCTGATGAGTGAGATTCTCATGAAAAGGCTCGATGATGCGCCCACCCCCCAGCTCTGGCTCTCCTCCTCTGCTGCTGCTGGGATCCCTTGGCTGCAAGGACGGCGTGGGCAGGTTCTGGGGTTCAGAGCAGCGCTTGGTGTCCCTGGTGTCGCTGCTGGCAGCCACATCGCTGTCCTCAAGCTGCTGCGTTGCTCTGGAAACTCTTCTGATGCTGTTGGATTATTTCCTTTTCCCATCACCTTGCTGGGACCCGTCAGGACATGAGCACAGCTCGCCCGGGGAAGTCCCGGGTGCTGATGGAAGCAGTGTCTGGGCTGATCCCCGGCGGGACGGGCAGGCTGGCTGGCGCTGCGGTGGCACGGCGGGATCCAGGTGGGATGTTGTTCTCTCTCGATTTAGCTGGGTGTAGGGTTTCCTGAGAACGGGCCGGGCTGGGCTGGACCCCGGGAAAGCGTAAAGGTTAAAGTGCTGCCGGAGTTGTGACAACCGCGTAGCTAGGGAACCAGCGTGCTTGATGCTTCGCCGAGTGTCCCCAGGACAGGCTGTTTTCCAGCTCCAGCCACCCTAGGCTCTGGCTCAAGTTCCTGAATGAGAAGGAGAGAAAAAAAAAAACCCGAAACCAATCCATCCTGAGAAAGCTGGGTGGTGCTGGTTTGCTCCTGCGCTCTGCAGCCCCGTGGCACCGTGCTGCTCACGGGGTGGGGGTTCAGACCAGGGCATCCCCCATCCTGGCGTGCAGCAGCTCCTGCCCTTCCTGCACCACCACCAATCTTCCCGGCGAGGGGCTGGTTTTCAGCTCGTTTGTCGTGGTGCCAAACCCCGGTGCTCTCCCCCCTTGCACCCATCCCCTGGGGAGCACCGTGGCTCCCAGCACCGCGGGGCCGGCTCCCAGAGCTCCGCTGCCTCACCTTGGCCCCAAGCTTTGTTCCCGGACCCCAAGGCTGGCTCTCAGGTGAGCACGTGGAGGAAGCACAGGAAGGCTGGCCAGCTTCCAGGCAGGCACTCCCACTCTCCTGGGAGAATTTTATCCCAGTTTCCATCACACTGCCCTGTCCTGCAGGCTGTGGGACGTGGCTGCAGCGCGTGGGCTCCTGCTCCCCTGCCTGGGGAGGGGGATGTTCTCCTTCCCCTGGGGGCTTCCCGGGAGGGGGCAGAGCCCAAGGCTGGCAGAGCGGTGGCAGCACGTGCTCCAGGGGACACCGGTGGCCTCCCAGGTGCCTGGCAGCCCTCGGCTGGAGCAGGGGAGAGGCAATTCCAAACTGTACGGTGGCGATGACAGTCGGTGGGCAGCGTCCCCGAGGCACGATGTTTGGCCAGTCCTGCCTGCCAGCTTGTGCCCTGTGGGGCTGGCTGGGGGACTCCTGCTTGCCACGGGAGTGGTGGCTGTGCTGGGGCCATGCGGGTGCCACCGTCCCCAAGAGCTGCG